ATATAGCTAATTAATACATTCTTTTATATAAAGACAAACAATTTATATATGTATTTCAAGTAATTATTTGTTCTTTTTATTTTATAAGTAAATGATTCTTGTAAATTTCACTGCAATGAATGGGGTAGGTTGATAAGTTGCGTGGGGACGAAGTCCCCTCTATCCGCAATTTCTAGTTAGAATTATAATATTCGTTATTGTATTATTTACCTAAATTTTTAGGAATAATAATTAAATTATCTCTGTCAGACATTTTTATAAATTTATATATAAAGAAAAAGGTTTTTTTTTAAAAAAAAAAAAAATGTCTGATCATTTTTCAACACAAATTTATTTTGTACTATTGCAACGATAACAAGACCACAGTTATGTTATGTAGCACGGCATTTTAAAATTTGATGAACTTGTCCGAAAGCTAATTTTTTTCAATATAACTCGTTAAATTTCGTTTGCAATTGAAATTTTCTCAAAAAATTTTTACATCATCACGATCAGAACGTAATTTTTAATTTTCGCCTTTTATTTTTTTTTAAATTATTTTTTTTTTTTTTTATTATTGAACAAATATTTCACAAGGCAAAAAAAAAAGTTAATAAAATAACTTTTCATTTATTTTCCGCTAAATAAAAAAAAGGAAAAAAAAAAAAAGAAAAAAATATTTCTTTTGTAAATAAAGATGCTTTTTTTAAAGGAAAAAAATTTCTTTTTAATATTTAAATATTGAAATCCTGTGGCATAAATCTAAATTCAAATAATTGAATAATTGACCATTATCTTATTAACTAAATAATCAATTACCTACATCATTGATTTCTTTAAATACTGTATATAAAATGGAAATTTGAAAATTTCCATGTGATTTAGTTTATTATATAAAATGTGTTTACGAAATGCAACTGCAACAACAGAGAGAACAGATGATAAACCGGCGTTCTTTACTTATTTTGCTGATAAATTTATTTTATAGTCTTCCGAAGGTGTCGAAGCTTCATTTAATTAAATTAAACATCTAGACACTTTGTATTGATGGGCATTTTCCTTCAATTTGTAAAATCATGGATATGTATTCACAATAAACTAATTTTAGAAATTATTACACCAATTGTAAATTTTTTTAATCCAAAGAGAATATAATATGAAATTGTTAGCTGAGAACCTTTTGCTGTGAATTAAATTTTCTATTCCTAACTATACGATGATGTTGAATTGCCGACTGACAATCGTGGTGATGAATGTAATTTGTATGAAACAAAAATTGTTAATATGAATAAAAAAAAAAATAAAATAATTACCTTATCACGTTATTTTTAAGTTTTTTTTTGTAGATATAAGTTATTGATTGAATTTATTATGATTTTTATTTAATTAAAAAAAATAAATTATAATAATATTATACATTTCATTTCATAAAATGGATTATTTAGAAATAACCAATTTTCGAAAATAAACTGGTTTCAGATATAACAATTATAATGTCCATAAAAAAATTCTTCGATAGTAAATTTTACTATATGACTCGATAAACTATACTATGTTAACAACACCCAAATGTCCCGTGATTGCTATTAAAGGTCCTTTCTCCAGGATTGCTACTCGCCATAAGAACATTGCTTTACAATAATATAAACGAAAATACGGGAAAATTAAAAAATGCTAGATTGCTAGATTGATACAACCTTAAGCGATCATACCGAAAGTTAAAAAAAAAATTAAATTAATAGTAAAAAGTTTAAAATAATAATATTGAAAATACATATCGCGCTTACTTTCGAAGTAAGACAAACGAAAGTCTAGATAAGAATAAAAAAAAATTCAAATATTTTTGCGGTCCGTATCGCTCAATAAAGAAATAAATAATATATAAATAAAAAAATAAAAAACCAAACAAATTAATGTGTTACAATCGAAAGAAATCACCTAGGATAAGGCATAAATTATTAAAAACTATAAAATTTATTTCGCAGCATCCAATCCAAAGAAACCGTTTAAAAAGAAGACAATAATAAGATAAAATAAAAACTAAATAATATATATAATTATATATAATAAAACAATGTAATTAAAAAAGAAAACTTATTATTGTCCAAGCAATCCAACCTGTTAAAAATAAAATAAAAATAAAAAACCCCAAGATAAATGTGGCCCGAATATTCTTCAAAAAAATAAAAAATAAATATAATCAATGAATAAAAAAACTTAACGTATCTCAAGCTGTTATTATCAGAAAAAAAGCTTACTATACATAAGCAGATACTCAGTATACCTTTCATGAATAATAAATAAAATCTAATAAAGTTAAACCAAATTGTTAGAAGTAGATGTATAGTTGGAGTCTAATTAGACTGCAATTATACCACTTAGTATGGACTATAAACCACCTGAGAATGACGTGTGTTTTGCATTTTACGACACGTACTATATCAACTTCCTCTTCCTCTTCCTTACAAAACAAAAAAAAAATAATAAAAATAATAATAAATAAATGTCAGCAATCCTATCAGAAAAGGACCAGAAATAAATAAATACATGCTTCGAACGTTGTGTGCCCGAAAACAACCGCATTATTGCTTATTTCTAATCTAAACAATAAGAGAACAAATAATTTTTAATTGTTTTAAATTTAACAAGTTTAGGTTCCGAAAAAAACAAAAAACTAAATTTATTAGTTAGGAAAAAGTAGGAATGCTCACATTTATAAGAGATGATCGACTTATAACAGCAAAACTTATTTTAGTCTTCTTCCTAATCATTCACTCTAAATTTCCATGCTTTACCCTTTCAGTAGCTAAATAAAATTTGGAATCATCTTGAGCTTGAACTACATCAAAAACCTTATAAAACAATCTAAATTTTTTAACATTATTTGGCTTTATGATTTCAATATGAGTTTTCACATCTTCTGTAGAGAGAGTATTATTCGTAATCCTTTAAATAAACCATAAATACTACTGTCTTTATTGATAAGCGTTATTCCTGAAGGCCAAATATTTGCTTCGATATCTGCTACTGTCACTTAATGGTTCATTAGCTTCTACAATTCTTATGATAAGTTTAGATGCAGTCGTTCTTGACCTAGATTTGCTTTGTTTTTGAAATACTTTGTTTCTTCCATTCCATTCAGAAATCTAGTTTGTGAAGTTAGCTTAATCAAGTTTCTAATTTCGCTTTAGTAAATTCTTCGAACAAATTTAGATTTTCTTGTTTAGAATAATACTGTGTTTTCAAGCCTTCTAATATTTAAATTCATTACTGCAGCATCTGAAATTACTCTTCAACAAAGGGGACAGACAATACATATTTTTTTTTGTTATGCCCAGCCTTTTTCATATAGACGATATTTCATTTACCAATGAAAGGAATGTATGTGTTTGTTACTGAATCAAATTATTCACATGTAATCAATTACCCTTTTATTGCCTAATTCACAAATTATCATTTATCATCTTGTGAAGATATTAAAGAAATCGGTGGAGGACAAGGAGAAGAAGGAGGAAATGAAATAGAATTTGCATCCAAGCTGATTTTGTTCATTGATTCACTCTATTTTGAAATATTTACTTACAATGTAATAAATCAAAGAGGGAGAAATAGAAATACTAAAAAAATATGGCTCAGTCACCCCCAGTACATGTAAAGTTATTCAACAATTATGGGACATGTTTCCCAAAGTCTATAATATTTTTCCAAACAAAAGTGGTAATGTAGCACACCGAAAGATTAATGTTTGCCGTTTATAAATATTCTCCGATCCAAAATATTGGTTCGTAAATTAAAAGGATCCCGCAACATCATCAAGAACCAATTCATTAAAAAAAAAGAAGTCCCAAATCTCTCATGTAATCGTCAGAGGTCATTTCTCCTTGGCTAAAAAATAGAAGTGTGTAGATTGAGCGTAAAAATGTATAAATATATTGGCGAATCGACCTTTCAATATTGGTATAAAGGTGTAAAGGTTTTATTGCTTGAGGCGGGGAAAGAGGTATAACGGTTGAATGGTTTGTTTTATGATGAAACTTTAGTGTAACGACCCTAGATTTTGTGCTCAGTACTTAAAATCTATATTTATCGTATGCGAGAAGGTTTTTACTTAATTAATCAGTACTGCCCGTCGGAGTCAATTTTATTAAATGTAGATCGTTGCGGGCGGCTAAATAAAAATTATTCTAGGTGAAATACCGGGGTATTTTTAAACTAAAGAATTCGCTTTAGTCAAAAATCCGACAATTTTATACCTTTAATCCAAAAGGACGAATTTTCCCTGAAAACTTGCCCTGTGATCTGAGGAAATTTGTCCCGTGGTCGACTTGCTTAGTCAATTTGGCCTACCCCAAATCTAGCTAGGTCGATCACTAACCACCACATTAAGAAACAATACTTTCGGATGATAAAATAGATAAATTCAGAAAATTACGTGTTTTTTAATAGGAATTTATTGGCCTTCTAATAGACCTTATAGAAATTTGTGGGGTATTGATTGATAAGGCTAATGTTGAAAAACGACGGCAAAAAAAATTTAATAATTTATGATGCGGAGGAAAAAGAAAAAATTCTAGAAAGCCTTTGAGTGAATTTGGTGGAGTCAATTAAGAACTTTACATGCCTTAAAGTAACTCATTTTATTTATTAAAACTCTGATTTATTCTAACGAACGATTATACACGTGATTTGCGCAGTCGTTTGAAAATAGTTTTTAATGTGTAATAAATCTTTTGTTCCATTCGATATCATGATAATATATATGAAGTAACAAGCTAATTAATCAATTTCTGCTAAATGACCGTATTTAATTGCAAAAATACTCTAAATTTAAAATCGAACAAGAATTCAAGTATCACATTTAGTGCCTTATCGGGAAGTTGTCACATGACTTTCTTGAAATATCGTTTATAATTGTATGCTCTTAAATTTACAAGAACTTTAATTTTTATAATTTGCCTAACCAATTGTTTGAAAATAATGAGCTAACTTTGTCTTATCAAAACTAATGATGATTCAATTAATTGTTATAGCCAAATTTTGTCCAGAGTCGATCGGTATGATCGGTATATTATTAAAAATTTTAGGATCATTAAAAGTTGATTTTTTAGACTTTGTCGAAGAATACTCACTTTAAACTTCACAAGTCAATGAGGATTAAAAATTAAATTCTATTTATTTATATGTTGTGTATTCCACTTTCTTTGACTTTTATTCAGATTTATAAAATTTCAAGCAAAATATAAAAAAAAAATTCAGAAGGTTAAAAAAGTTGTGTTATTAAAAATTTTAAAATGGTTACTATTTTATGTATTATTACATATAGATAAAAAAATTGGAGCTAAAATCGTAATATTGTTCCATTTGAAATAAATAATAAATTACATAGATTTTTATCTAAAATAAACAAAGAATTCTTTAACTTACGAGAAATGCTAATTTAGAGATTCATAAAATGAATTAATGTTCCCTGTATGATTCATGGAAAAGAAAATTGAGAATAAATGAAATAAAATGGTCTAATTTTTTATTTATTATTAAATAAAAAAAGATTGAAGTTTATTTTTCTGCTTAATAAGAAAAATTTGTATATGAATAATTTGTTGCTTCAAAAATTTTCAACCTTTAACTATACTAAACAAATGTTAAAATTTTTATTAAAGAAGGTTTTATGTTTTGAAAGTTCCTACGAATTACTTGAGATGAATTTTGAAATAATCATCTTGATTTAAAAGGGATTTATTTGAGGTTTTAAATTTTACATGAACGTCCAAAAATGCCTGGAACTTTATTTTAAATAATTTCATATTTGTTAAAATTCAAATAATTTATATTTCTTCGTAAAGTACGATTACAAAAATAATATCGTTAAATTTATACGTTTTCGCGTTGTGACAATCTTTTTTTTTTCATTTCGTGGGGCATTCCGGCTATGTCAGGATCCTTATTTTCCTTTATTGACGTTACTGAATAAATTTAGATAATCAATATAAATAAATGATTATCAAGATTATTGACCATCTTAAGTTTAGTCTGAATCAATGTGCGACTTCTTTTTAAGTAATAATATCTTTCATATGCATTATAAAGAAAAAAAAGCCATAATTTCACATATCGGAATTGATTTAATTAGACTAATGTTTATTAAAATTCCTGTGCAAAATTAATGCTAATGATTAGATTCTATGATAATGCATGTATCATTTTTGCCACATTTAAAGAAAGATTGATTAAATAAAGATTTTTGAATCAAATTGATCAAAAAGTTGGGTCAACAAACAATAGAGATCAATCTTAAAATAAAAAAAATAAAATTATTAAAATTAATGGATTCAAGAAAGTTCTACGCATGAAAAATTTTAAATAAAGATGATTTGTTGCTTTGTTTTCTTATCTTTTATCCCTGTTTCTATTCTGCGGTCATGTAAAACTACATAGATTGTTTAATGTTTCTTGTAAAACTGCATATTTACGGTAGATAATCGATGAGATTAGCCTAATCAATATGTTTGTTAACGGGAAAATTTAGTAGCGTAATAATAAAATAATAATTGGCGCATATACATATTAAAATTAATTTTTTTTTTGGATTCCCATTGTTGATATTGTTGATATGGTCGGTCTTGATCAATAAATTTCTATAAGGAGGGGGTGATATCAAAGTTTACCCTTATCAAGTAACAATATATATGTATACGCACATTATGATGAGAATGTAAATAAAAAACAAATTTCTTCTCTTGATTTCCTTTGATGGCTAAAACCTTTCCTTAGCACGTACGCAGTTCGTTGATATTTTGACCCCCATCAAATAACTGATACATAATTAAAAAGATTGAAAACAAGCTAAATTAGATTGAACAATAGGATGAAATTAATGTGTGTTAGTGTAACGTATTAATAATATCGAATATAACAATTAAATAATTGAAATTCCAGGAATAATTTATTATCAAAATGTTAATAATGTAATTTGGGAAATGAAATTAATGTATTAGTTTTATCTTATAATTTTTTTCACTTACACTTTCTACAAATATGGTCAACTTTTGTGAACACGTATGTATCGATTATAGTGTCTTAAAAAAGATGTAAAATTAGGGTTAGCGGACATTACTACAAACAATATATTAATTATTTTTAAAGAATATTTTTCATGACTATCGTGAACGTTTTTTAAGAACAACAGTTAATATCAACTTTAGCAAAAATAGCTCATATCAACTTTAGAATTTGGTCGCGGCCAAAAGAAGTTGGCCACCAAGCAAATGCACAATTTTCCAAAACAACTTTCGTGACGCTTAAATAATAAATAAAGTGCTATATGCGCCCAATGAACTTTTTCCATTTGGCCACGACCATATGTACAAATACAAAAAATTGGCAAATGCTTTGCTTTTTACAATATAATTGATTATTTTAAAAAGAAAAAAAATGCTAATATTAATCTACTAGTAAGATTAATGATCACTTATGATTTCGTTTGCGCTCATTAATTGTAAGTTTATATTTTTAAACGAAGTAAAAGTAGCAGAAAGTTTTTAATTAATCAAAAATGATCGATAAAAACCACACAAAAATCACGTGATTAAATAATCAAATACTGACTCAATTTTATTAAATGTAGATTGTTGCGAAATAAATAAAAACTATTCTGAGGGGAATTTCTATTTAAAAACTAATACCATTATTATTTTTAAAAGGACAACTTACCCAGAGGACAATTTGTCTAGGACATTAAAACAATACATTCGGGATTATTAATTAACAAATAAAATTATTACTAATAACGTTCCTCGTAACACTATTGTAAATCATTTTTATTATTCTTAATAAAACAATATACTTGGTGCGGATTTTGTCAAGGTAAATAGAATTAAACTTTCTTCAAAATTCTTTTGAAATAGACTCAATTTTTTAAATATTTACACGTCACTTCAATTATGAAAAAATTAAATACCACTATGGATTCTTCTGTTGAACAAAAATCTCGAATTAAATCCAATATTTCCTGATCAATGTGAGACTAATTATCAAGCAATCTTACAAGGTAAAATTTTCTTTTAATAAATTTTTTACTAACACTCAACAATTATTATCAATATAATCTAGAATAATTCTAAATATCGATATAAGTAAGTAGTTGGAATTTCTTGGAAATTGGGAAAAAAATATTGATTTTATAATCATGTTAAATGAAGCTTAAATGCTATTATTTTTTGGATAACGACATCAAATAATATTTATTTGCGAAATTGCGAACATTGATTT